ATCGATAAAAATTACATATGACAATTCATGAGCAGTATGTATTAATTCTCGCGTTTGCATTAGGTCAGGCAAAAAGTGTATCTATATGAATATGATTTTTCTGGAATAGTGTTGAAACTTGACTAATGCATGGAATAATAATGCAACACAAAATGTACTTAGAACAAAATGTATTGAAACAAGAAAGTGTACACAATATTTACATATAGTCTTTTGTATATTCCTGGTAAGACCGTTCCTGGAGAATGTGTTGACTTAGTCGCAGTCGGGCAGAGTCTCTGGATTGAATCTCTTGATTCCTCCCTCTCTTCCCGGTACCAACCATATTTATATGGTCGGTACTCCACTATGCAAATTAGGTGGATCCTACCACAATAAATAGCTTAATGCAATTGCTAGCGATATGAAAGTCGGCAATACTGCAATGATCATGATTACCCAGGGTGCAGAAGAAATACATCCCACATAATGTTAAGGTTACTTGGTGTATACTGTTGGTGGGGCGTCCAGGTTTACACTGTAACAATTACAAAACAAATGACGTGATCAAGCTCAAATTTCGTTCCCGTTACCACAATAGTACCAACTATAAGCACACATGACCAGAAGGTAGCGTGACAAACCTAAATATATGGGGAAAGAACTGATAGTTTTGTTTTTACTCACCTTCGTATATATACAGTAATTATAATAACTAAGGTTTATTCAGCATAATTGCTGTATAAACCACATTTTGTTTCTGTGGATTTTGAAGAAACGGAAGCCAGTTGGGGAAGACATAAAGTATTAGCTAGCCGACGGACATACTCATAATGCTACTAATCAAATATTATTATATTTAAATTCTGCCGATTTCGGCCTTGAACCTTCAGTTTATTTTACATTTTAATCGTTTAGATTACAGATTATATTTGTGTAATATGTATATGTGATCAACCCCATAGATATTTACTCAGGTAAGTTTAGTTCACTATGTGTTTAAACGATTGAAGTTTAAAAAGATTATGATAGATCAGTCTTTGAAGAGAGATGGGCCTTCAAGCTGTTCGTAAATATCATGGTTTTACATCGGCTTTAAAACCTTCTACAAACAACTATGGGAAATATGCATATCGAGCAAGAGCGCGGTGTGTCTCTGCTTTCCGTATATATAACCTATATGTTAGTCTATAAGCACATAATAGATGGGCATCCATTTATCTTACAAGATAAATGTTGGCCCTTTTTGGGGGGATTATATTCAGTCCCTCAGTGGTGAATGGAGTGAACCCTCCTTTGGACTGTACGATGGTATGTGGGGGCCGTGCGCTTCCAGACCATAGTCCAATGTCGGCCGTGTCGACAAGCTCCAAAGGAATACAAGGCATTAGATTTGGGTCTGGCTTGGTTGCAGAAGCTGCCGGAAAGTTACCAGTATTGACAACCAACCGCCTTCGGGGCTCCACATCTTTTTTGCTTTTCTTTTGTTTTTTGTTGCTTTTTTTTTTGTTTTTTTTTGTCTGGATTTACTTCCATATCCTTTTCCGTCAGCTGAGGTTTAAAATAAGGGTTTTTCTTGCCCTAGATTGACTGCCTTCCTGGCCTGTCGAGGTTAGTCCAAACAAAGCAGCTGGGTATGAGGCGCTAGGTGTCCACCTTCACTCATACTCCTGCTTAGAGTCTGCCTTAGTTTTCAGAGTCTATCTGAGACGCATGCCACGGAAGCATTTTATAGACAGGGGGAGGTTGTCTCTACTATCCGCCCAGGTTATGAAAATCTTTGGAACATATATAATGTACGTATATAAACATTGTATACATTCCGTGTTTTAGAAGCTCCTCCTCCTAAAAAAATAACGTTTTCTTTCTAATATACAAAAAAAAAATTCATGTAAACAAAAACACTAGAGAGCAAGACAGATTTCTAGTACAAACGCTCATGTAAATATGTGCGTACATCTGAATATATATTTCTGAATCAAGAAAGAAACTCGGCCTGTCTTACTGAACTGAATTACTTTGAATCTAGTGTCAATGATTTCATTGCAAATGTTTTAACTGCGAAGATTCCACTTCAAGTTAAACTTCAATCAAAACAGTTCGTTTCTCTTCTTTGCGGTTGCTGCTCCTGTTAAAGTCGTAGTTTGCCTCGGGCTCCACGAGACTTTGTAGCAATCTGCGTGACTAGTGCGCGTTTAACAATTTACCCAGGTGGTCTCATTTTGGCCACTGGCATTTGGCAACACACAAATAGTCACGGTCTTCAGTCTTTCAGATTAGATTCCTGTTTTTTACTTCATTCCATGATGGATTTTCTTTTACTGATTCTTTTAAGTTACTTCCAGGTGTAAATACATTTGTTTTTCCTGATCGAGATCGAAATCTGTAAGGGAAACCTACTGGTATTATATATATATATATATATATATATATATATATATATATATATATATATATATATATATATGTATATATATATATATATATATATATATATATATATATATATATATATATATATATATATATATATATATATATATATGTATGGTGAATATAATGTATTTATATATATATATATATATATATATATATATATATATATATATATATTTATATATATATATATATATATATATATGTATATATATATATATATATATATGTTGTAAAATATATATATATATATCTGTATGTATCGATATATATATATATATATATATTGTATATATATATATATATATTATTATATATAAATATATATATATTTATATATATATATATATATATATATATATAATTTATATATATATATATATTTATATATTATTTATATATTTATTTTTTTTGGTATATATAATCATTTCAATGATATATATGATATATATATAAATATATATATATATATATACAGTGAAAATATATATATATTGTATATATATAGGAGGAAAATTTTCAAAATTTGTATTTAATTTCCTTATTTTTTAATTATTAAATTTTTAAAATAGTGCTCGATTTTTAGTATAAATATAATTATTTATTTAAAATATATTTTTAAATAAATAATTATATATTATATATATATATATATATATATATATATATATATATATATATATATATATATATAATATGTGTTTGGGGGGGGGAGGGAGGGAATGAAAATAATTATATATATAATATAAAATTGATGCTTATAAATTGCATAAATGTACGTCAATGAGATGTATTGCTTATTGCCGTACAAATAATGTTTATTTAAACATTGCATATAGAGGCATCAATCCTTCGTTTGATCATTTTTATGAATCCATGTTATCCAAGCGTCAGTTTTAAGTGACTCCTGCTTTTGTTCCATGTATTTTGATCATTAAACTTGTCATGTTCTTAAATAGACTTCTCAAATCGAGTCTTTTATGTGGACGTCACAGATGGTACCAAACACGTACATAAATATCTAAAGTCCAAGCTATAAACAACATCGTCCACGGATAATGGGTTCGAGCGAATAAAGCCTGTTCTTAAAGAGGATCATCCTTCACAAAAACCTTTGAACTGGCGCTACAGAATCACAAATAACTATAATATAAAAGAAACCACATTACTTGCGGACTGTTAGCAAATGCCACAACTAAAATGGATAGCACATGTAAGTGAAATATTCTGACGTTCCACTTAACCAAAATAAAAAGAAATGTTAGGAAGATGCCATCAAAATTGGAAAAGCAATAAGTTACTGTACTTGAGAAACCTATTTTTCTGAAAAATATACTAATATTGGATTGGTGCATAATTACCAGGCATTTTTCGTAGGCGAGTTATCTGTTAATAAAAATTGCTGTTTTGTTTACTTCTTTAATAAAAATATTATTTTATTTTCAGGTTATAAACACGCGTGTCGATAATCATATGCTCCGAAATTTAAAAATGATATTGTTGAATTCTTGTTTCTTTTTTCATAATAAATATTGTTAAAAACGCCTGATAATTATGCACCAACCCAATAGAAATAGTTTTTTTGAAATTTCAATAGACATTATTACTGACTACTGCGTGGATGAATACCAAATATTTCCATATAAATGGGCTGCTGATATTGTTATTACCATTTGTTGAGTTTCGTATTTCCTTTATTTCAGATGAAAACTGAGAAATTTAAAATATATGTTCAGTGAAATTCTTATATTTCAAAATTATAAATTTGGAGATACGGTGGAATAATGTATTGCGGCTCGGTTTGAACAGTCGGCGAGCAGAGCTCGAATTCCAGTCACATTCACTTACATGCTTATGAATGGTATGAATCCAGCTCTTCTCTTCAGCCCATCTATGGGAAAATAGCAGTGCAGACTGGGTGGCAACCGGTTTTAGAGAAGGAAAAAATCTGAATTCAAACCAGCCTGGAGATTTGGGGTCTGTCAGGCTGTCTTGCTCAAGACATAACACTTCGATTGCGGCTGCAAGTATATATGGTGGCCTTACGACTCTAATGAGTAACACGACGCGTGATCGTGAATTATGGATTAGATATATGGGAACAAAAAGAAGGCGCAATTTGAAACTGTCTCCAGGAGAATATTGTTTAAATAAAACGGGTAGGTCATGTGCGTTATGACTTTGTGATTATCTTGTGAGTAATGGATAACGATTTGGATTGAGGAATCGGAGAGCCGAGTTCGAATTCCAGTCGAATCCATTACATTCACTTACGTGTTATTACCTTTGGGAAAGGTATGAATCCTCTTCTTCTCCCCCACGGCTATGGATAATTAGTACTTCATTCCTTTTTTTTTTATAACAACCAATGAACCATGACAAAAAATGTTGGAACAGTAGATATAATTTCAAGTAGTTCCTTTAAAAGTTTCCACCTGACATTCAAACGATTTAATCGACGCCATGATAATCATATCAAAAGAAATACAGCATGCCCCTTCTATTTAATAAAACATCTTTTTAAAAGTACTTCTATAGATAATATGTGGGTGAACTCATTTGTACAGAGTAAATGAACATTTTTCATGTTTTTCTTTCTATCTTATGTTTTCCCCATTGAGAGCCGCTTGACAATCGAGACAAACTGCTGTCAAATGTCTCACTGTTACCTTTTTGGGATTCACTGTGCATTCTTCTCTCTCGTAGACTTTAAAAATTTCTCGTAAAAAAAAAGGTTTTTTTCCCTCTTTTCTTTTCGTCGATCTTTATTCGACAGTATTTAGTTTCCTTTGTTTATTCTGCTTTCTGTTCCGCTTTTTCTCATTTCCTTTTTGTGGATATCATTCTTTTTGACTTCGCATCCAATATTTATTGGGTTGGGTAAAAGTTAGTTCAGTTATTAAGTAGAAAATTTATATAATAAACCCAACCAATTATTTGGCTACCACAATACTACTTCTCACTCTCTTGGATCTATTTCTCTTCTCACCACTTTCTCGCGCCACTCTCCGTTCACTCCCCCTCTTTCAGTTAGTTTTTTTTTTTTTTTTTTATTTTACCCATCTCACTGGTGTCTTCTTCGGGTTTCTCTTCTCTTTATTTTCGTCTCTTCCTCCTCAAAACGTGCCCCTCCTCGACAATGTATTCTTCTTGCTTTTCTCGTGTCTCCTCCTATTTTCTCCCACCTCCTTTTCGCGCCACTCTCTATTTGCTTCCTCCTCTTTTTCGCTCCACTCTCTATTTGCTCCCCACTCTTTCTCGCGCCACTCTCTATTGCTCCCCCCTCTTTCAAGCGCCACTCTCTATTTGCTCCCCCACTCTTTCAAAAGCCTCTCTATTTGCTCCCCACTTTTCACGCGCCACTCTATTTGTTCCCCACTCTTTCACGCGCCACTCTATTTGCTCCCCACTCTTTCAAGCGCCACTCTCTATTTGCTCCCCACTCTTTCACGCGCCACTCTCTTGTTGCCCCCACTCTTTCACGCGCCACTCTCTATTTGCTCCCCACTCTTTCACGCGCCACTCTCTATTTGCTCCCCACTCTTTCACGCGCATATCTCTATTTGCTTCCTCCTCTTTTTCTCCACACTCTATTTGCTCCCCCCACTCTTTCACGCGCCACTCTATTTGCTCCCCAATTTTCACGCGCCACTCTATTTGCTCCCCACTCTTTCAAGCGCCACTTTCTCTATTTGCTCCCCACTCTTTCACGCGCCAATCTCTATTTGCTCCCCACTCTTTCACGCGCCACTCTATTTGCTCACCACTCTTTCACGCGCCACTCTCTATTTGCTCCCCACTCTTTCACGCGCCAATTCTATTTGCTTCCTCCTCTTTTTCGCTCCACTCTCTATTTGTTCCCCCCACTCTTTCACGCGCCTCTCTATTTGCTCCCCACTCTTTCAAGCGCCACTCTCTATTTGCTCCCCCCACTCTTTCACGCGCCAATCTCTATTTGCTTCCTCCTCTTTTCGCTCCACTCTATTTGCTCCCCACTCTTTCACGCGCCACTCTCTATTTGCTCCCCACTTTTTACGCGCCACTCTCTTTTGCTCCTCACTCTTTCACGCGCCACTCTCTATTTGCTCCCCACTCTTTCACGCGCCACTCTCTATTTGCTCCCCACTCTTTCACGCGCCACTCTCTATTTGCTCCCCACTCTTTCAAGCGCCACTCTCTATTTGCTCCCCACTCTTTCACGCGCCACTCTCTATTTGCTCCCCACTCTTTCACGCGCCTCTCTATTTGCTCCCCCACTCTTTCACGCGCCACTCTCCTTTGCTCCCCCTCTTTCACGCGCCACTCTCTATTTGCTCCCCACTCTTTCACGCGCCACTCTCTATTTGCTCCACACTCTTTCACGCGCCACTCTCTATTTGCTCCACACTCTTTCACGCGCCACTCTCTATTTGCCCCCCCTTTTCTCGCGCCACTCTCTGTTTGCTCCCCCTCTTTCTCGCGCTACTCTCTATTTGCTCCCCCTCTTTCTCGCGCCACTCTCTATTTGCTCCCCCTCTTTCATTTATTTTTTTTTTTACTTTAATCATCTCACTGGTGTCTCCTTCAATTCTCTCGCCTCTCTTTCTCTTCGTCTCTTCCTTGCATTCTCTTTCTCGTTCTCTTTCTCGTTTCTCCTCTTTTCTAAGATTTCGTCCTCTTTGTCTTCCACTTTTTCTTATCTTCTTTCTCTCTTTCGTATCTCTATTTTTAACTCTTTTCCTCACTTGCCTCTTTCTCTTCACCCATATCTCTCTCGTTTAGCCTCATTTTCTCTCCCTTCTTCGTGTCTTTTTTCCTTCTCTTTCGTGTTTCATTTTGCGCCATTGTTTCATGTTTCTTTCTCTTTTCCCTCTACTCTCGCTCTCCTTTGCACACTTTTCTCTCTGTTTCATTCTATTTGCCCCACCTCCCTATCTCCCGACTCCTTCTACTCTTCCCTCTCTCTTTGTCTCTTTCCATTTTTTCTCCCTCTCTCTATAATTCATACCATAAAAAATCTGCATGTTATATTTTTCTTCTCACTTGATTTCTTCCCTCTTATTATTTTACTCCCCATCTTCTTCACTCTCACTTCTGTCTCTGTCTCTCTCTTTTCCCCCTCTTTCATTTTACCTTCCGACATTTTAACCCCCCTTATTATTTGTCTCTATTTTGATTTTTTTTTTCAGTTTTTCTCTGTCAGTCTTTTTTTTCTTTTTTTTTTCTTTGTTGTTTTTTTTTTTAACTCATCCTTCTCTGAGCGTTTAACTTTCTGTCATTTCGGGCATCCCTGCTTTTATTGACCACATCTTTGTTCATCCAGATTTATTCCATCCCCTTTCTACCCAATCGGCGCCCTCTTCCGCTTTCTCTGACCACCCTTCATTCTCCCAACCCAGTGAAACCCCCAACTTTCAAACACTCCACCTAATCTAAGTCATCTGATGATGTACTGGATCTGAACAGCACAACAAAATAGATCAATGCCCTTGGTATGGCGAATTTTGACTCCGTAGCAAGCGGCCTTTTTGAAGAATCGTTTACAAAAGGGACCATCAGAGATTGGCCCTGGGCCTCTGGGTCACATGGGGCTTGGGCAGCGGGGGTGGCAAATTCAGTCGCTTCTTTTCAAATGGTGCAGCCTGCATTGCCGGCGTGCAGGAAAATGCGAATGCCATCCAATAACGAGAGTAAACAACACCTAATAGGGTCAAACTATGCCCACTTCTTTAATCTTTAATACCCTCCGCCTCTCACCTGCTTACTTCATTAGTGTTTTTTTTTCCTTTTTTCTTTTTTTTTTCCTTTTTTCTTTTTTTTTCCTTTTTTTCCTACTTTATTGCTTTTTGTCTTTTTTTTTCTCTGACTTTCATTTGAGAATTTTATAACACATATATCACCTTTTTTATCTTGCTTTTTTTTCTCTCTTTCGTAACTTTTTGGTAACTCTCACGTTTGTCGAATGAAATATTTTTTTCTTAGTATTTTTTGCATGTTTATTTATTTTCCAAATATAATAACAGTTTATTTTGCTCACGCTCATATATATATATATATATATATATATATATATATATATATATATATATATATATATATATATATATATAAATGAGTGTGTGTGTCCATGAATATACGCATACATATACTTGTATATAATGGCTGGCTACTCGCATTTCCAAGCACACCTGTTTGATAGGGCTGCTATGGCCAGTCCCTGTCGCAGACATCTGCTCAGGCAAATTTGTTTCTTGTTCAACAGTCTGAGTGGAAAAATATATGGGATTGTTACAGTTTGCACAACACATGTCCGCTCCAACTTTCGGTCACGATTACTTGTGACTAGCATAACCATCGACGGCTTCAAACAGTTTATATATATATATATATATATATATATATATATATATATATATATATATATATATGAAAGATACTATATCAATAAAATAAATTCTCTTCTTGAACTTATTACTAAAGTCTGAGAAAAAAAAAAACCCTCTATATATATATATATATATATATATACACACACACACACATATATATATATATATATATATATATATATATATATATATATATATATATATATATATATATATATATATATATATATATAATCCAGAAAAATTTATATATATATATTTTATATGATCCAGAAAAACATATGACACTTTTACAACTTTTTTGTATGTGTTTGTCTTATTCTGCACGGGACAAAGTTTTAAGGAAATTGGAAAGAAAAAGTACTCTTATACTTAACATTGGAAACACATTTTTAGGGAACATAATAGCGAAAGAGGGCATACAAATTTGATACTCACTGGGCCGAATGAAGGCAAGAGGAAAACGAATAAATATTTGGATAACAAGATGGTGGAACAAGGGTTGGGAAAGATAACAAAAAGACAAAATTTATTAAGAGATACAAAAGAGAAGAAATTGTGGAAAGTCATAATCGCTAACCCCCTGAATGGATACGTCACATATAAGAGGAAAATATTGCTTAATTTGTATCTAAAGCTCAAATTTATTCTCAACATAAAATTACGTTTGTTTATGATATGCAGATTTGGAGTTAAATTAAAATTTTGATAAATTCGAATTTATTTTTCGCTATGATTCACTGGTGTCAAAATCACATACTTAGCTTATAACTACATTTTTTCTCTTTTTTTTTTCCATATCATGTGGATATGATCCTTCGCTGACGTTAGTCCGCGCATCAGTCGCTTCTTGGTGCTCTTCATTTACAAGTCATCTGTTGGAATACTACGCTGTTAAAATGGTCTTCATTCACAAATCAACTGTTGCAATATTACACCGTTAAATCTTAAATATTTTTAGGTGTCCATAGAAAACTATCTTCTATTATTTTTTCATAATAAAATCTATTTCAGAATGTGTTTAAATCAGTTTAAAAATGGATGTTCATTTTATTTCTGAGTTTTATACATATTTTATATTTACACACAACCCAACCCTAATATTGAGAACATTTACCCATATAGCATACCTTGAAAAAATATTTTTATCATATATACATATATTGTCAATTCGTCTTAACGAAGAGACTTGCATCAGCAGCAGTAATAGCCACTGTTTACAAATTCACTTTTCTCCACAAAGAGTTCAACAAAAAACATTTTTTCAGGAGGATGTATATATTATCATCTAGTTTCACATCAGATTGCCTCAATTGACGTATATACGTAATAAAAATCATATACATATATATATATATATATATATATATATATTCATTTTTTTTGCATATCGTAGCAAATATAATAAATCAGTTACTACAGATTTACAAACATACATACACACACACACACACACACACATATATATATATATATATATATACATTTATATATATATATATATATATATATATATATATATATATATATATATATATATATATATATATATATATATATATATATATATATATATATATATATATATATATATATATATATATATATATATATATATTGTGTATCCATGGTTTTAATATCTAGTAAGTTATCGTTAAAATTATTCACAGAAATCTTGAATAGGTTTTTTTGTTACTTTACTTATAATGTCCGCAATCTATAAAAATCTCAGCATATTTTGTCGTCTTTTTATTTCCAAAAGCTTTTTATTTACTCCAGTGTTTTCTTTGGACATGAATGATCACACGTATTCAGCCTGCATTGTTTCCCACCTAAAGCAATTGTTAGTGTTTCCAGATCAGTTAAAGAACACGCTGAATTTTTAAAAATGTCTAACCAATTTTATCCACTATCCTTACGGTTTTGTTTTCATCATTTTTTATTATTAAGTATCTCACATTGGGATAATAGAAGATCTGCCAAGAAAGATGACATTTTGTAAGAACCTGGACGCAAATTTACTGTGAAGGGTCGAGTGATCAAAACACTTTCGCACTATAAGGTTGCTTCCTCTTTTAATTAAAGCACCGTTTGTTTTTGTTTTTTGGGGGGGGTAATCGAAATTATGGTCAGACTAGTTACGGTGAGCAATCTATGCACTGCGTATGTCATTTTGTGAAATATCTCTTTTGTGTTCATATAATCAATTATTTAAATTCCTCGTGATTTCTCTCATGCTTTTCTTATGGCAGATAGTGCATGTTATAGAATAAGTCCCCCACTCTAAGTTTTATTATTTTGTTTAATAAACTAAATACAGTAAAGATTAAAAATATATATATATGAGAGAGAGAGAGAGAAAGAATTTTCTATATTTATAACTAAAGAATCCTAAACATCGGGGGTAGACTGTTTAAAAACAGAGACCCTATACAAAAAGGCGAAACACATCTTCTCATGATCGCTTAAGGCGTGAAACTGATGCTCTTTATGGACTATTGATTTCTATGGTCATACTACATATACACACACACATCTCTCTCTCTCTCATATATATATATATATATATATATATATATAACGTGTATGTAGGTCCTCCTTTTAAATATATTTTAGAATGAAGTAAATATACTTCGAAATTGCTAAACAAAATCAACCAACATTTTATTGAATTTTCCTTAAATATCGACAAGAGTTGCTTTTTCATTCCTGAAATCTATATAAACCCTGGCAAATTACCGGATTTCTCTGTCGTGACAATGCGCCTAATTGATATTCCTTATTTAAAAAAAGTTGGAAATAAGGTTATCTTATGTGACCCGGCCTTGTCTCTTTCTTGATCCATTGCATCTAATAATTAGAATCATAACAGTTTGAATAGGTTTTATGTCTTTCTGTAACATCATTGCGGGGGCGATATAAAAGCGTAGAATCTAAAGTTCCAACTGGTTTGAATATTTTAATTATCTATCATGCGCGTAGATTTTTAAGAAAATAAAAACCTACACACGATTCCCAGATACTTATCAAGACTTTCATGCACACATCTTTCTTGCATATCAAACCGTCCTTCAACGATAATAGATTGTCTTTTCTTTTCGTATGATTCAATTGGATAATTCAAATCCCAGCGGTAAGACAAAAACAAACGGCGTTCCCTTGCCACCACGGGTCTTCCTCAGATGGTTGGCGAGGACTGTCGCTTTTGATGTGACGGTCTTGAAGGGAGATTTCTCGGGTGAGAGTCTCAGCCAGACATTTGACTATACACCGCTAAATTATTGTTTGATCTGCACCATCTTGTGACGACTGGGAGTTCGATATCTCAACTTTTATAATTTGAACGCTTACTGTGACGAACGAGAAAAATAACAACGTTGGCGTCTTGAATGCGCTGGGCTGGATGAAAATGTTCAGCGGACGATATTGTCTATTCTAGTTGATGAGTGGGAACTACTTAAGTAAACTGGTCCACTTGTAAAAGAAAAAAAATAATAGGAAAACATTTTGGGGAATAATTTTTATAGATTAGCATTCTTTACACCTTGCTTAGACATTAGCGTTTGTCATAATCGAAAAATAATGATTTAGAAGGGAGTTTTGTTTATAATATCGATGTAGTATCAAGTCAATCTTTGATTTTACAGAGTTATTGGACTTAACTGAAATTAGGTATTGTAATTATTTATACCGCTCGGAATGTTGCCCTTATCTTTATTAACAACAACAACAAAAATTGTAATATGATCACTGTTAAAAAATGATTATGAGACATCAGTTTTATAAAAAACATAGTGCATTTATATATATATATATATATATATATATATATATATATATATATATATATATATATATATATAATGTTTGTTCATGTTCCCTGAAAAAATATTCTTCTATCTAAATTAGTTTAT